ATTAAATATTAATGCTAACCTATTTTAAAATTTAGAAATGGGTGGGGCTGTTGTAACGTAAGTTAATTAACAATTTTTAACGCGTTCTACTTACTACATACAATAATTATAATAATATTCAACATGCCTTCTATGTGATATCATTTTACTTGTGCGATTTACGAAAAAGAAATCAACATATCATATACGTTCAAGATGTCCATATCAAAACAAAATAAAAAATAATATGATACTTTACGTTGTGTATAGTATTCTATAAAAGTTATTAGAAGTATCCAAATAATATCGATATGGATTTGCGATAAGCGGCTGTGAACAGACGCCGTCTTAAGTATTGAGTGTAATTACGGGTTAAAAATATTCGTATCTTTTGTTGAACAATTTTAAACATTTTCGATAATTAATTTATAATTTATAATATTAAATTTACTCTCAAAAATATTATTGTTAATCGGTTTGATTTCAGAAATTAAATAGAAATTGTGATTTTATAAATAAGTGATGATGTGTGTTGTGTATAAAAAGTTTTTACTGTTTATACAGCATGTAAATATGAATTGTTTTAAACATTTTTAATGAAAAAGATACAAAATCTGCATGTTTGGAGGGGGGTTACGACCCCTAAGACCCCCTAGATCTGTGCCTGCAGAACTTATTCTTATAACTCTGTCAATATTCAATTTTTTTTTAAATCGGGTTTTCTGCGAAGGGGACATACATGTAAAGAAAAATACAATTTTTATTTTCATTCCCCTTAACCACTGAAAAAAATAACATTATTTTTCCACTTTTTTTGTTTTTTTTTATTGTTTTTACAGTGCTGTTTATTTCTTCTTTTTCTTTGTTCTAGTCTGTGAACATGTTTTTTCCTAATAAACTTGCTTCGATTTTTACGTGTAGCAACTTTAATGAAAGCTGAAGTTGTCTAGATGGTACTTAAAATAGGTAGGTTTTTGATGCTATTTTTTTTTAAATAAAAGCATTTAAAAGAGAAAAACGTACAATTTCTAGATTTTATTATTTTCTAAAAACACGGACAACATTTTCTACCAAAAAAAAAATGATTTAATCGAAATATCACAATATGCCTTTTTGATTTACTTTCTTATGGAATCATCGCTAAATTTTTTGAGCCATTTTTGAGGTTTTAAAGATTTTTAATTTTTGCTGTAATTTGGTTATAAATATACGTAGAGACTTAAAACTTGTTAATAATACTTACATTGAACTTACTAGACGTAGTCAAGTTTCCAAAATCAAATTTAAACGAAAATCGCAAAAAAAAAAATTACGGCACTTTCAATTATGTATTACCGAACTACGTTTTTGAAAGGGAAATATTTTTGATTTTCCACTCGGTTTTTCTAATGCTTGGGAAAAACCAGAATTTATTGTAATTTGGTTAAAAATATTCGTAGATACTAAATTTGGATAGAAAACTAGTAATTGCCTTAGATATGGTTGAAATTTTTTTTTTACATTTTAGTTCGATGGCTAGAGATGGCACGGACGTTAATTCACCCCTCAGCCGCCATCGTTTATTGTTCAAACATTTTTACAATAAATCTTATAAATCTTATAAAGACTTATAAATCTCGTTTTCTCTTCGCGGAGCAGGCTCACATTAAGTTTACAAAAATTTACAATTTACTCAATATTATATCTAATATTACGTGATTTCCTTTATCTTCGTGGGCCAGCTTCAGCCTACCGCCCTGGACTTCTTGTGCTGATGTTACCAAAATGTCGATAAGGGGCATATTAGTTGTAACGAAAATGGTGTCTGTTGATACTACGCGATAAGCAGATGCTGCTCTCAGCGCTGAACGTCTTCGTTTTTACCTTTGATGCTCATACTGTTTGCCCAGAACTCTGAGCCATATATAATTTGCAACTGTATGATTTCGGTTAAGAGCAGGGACGACGCGAGGGGGGGGGAGGGGTGGCAATGGGGGCAGTTTTAAAATTATAATTAAGGCCACACAGTTCTGAAATAATTTTTACTTTTCAGAGATTTTACTGAATTTCTAAAATTTTATTTATTGAGATTATAATTCGTAATAAATTATTTTATATAAAACAGTTTTTATTGTTGAAAATAGTTCTTTATACCGTGAATCGGATGCGGAAGGGTAATTTTTAAACGTCAGTCGCCTTATCGGTGGTGGTACTATTTGTAATATTATATCCACTTCGGTTTTAGGTTAGACGCACTTGCGTATTTTTAACGTGCGGTACCGTTGCGGCGTCAAACGTGCGATTTTGAATACTAATAATAGCATGAAAAGGTACATACGACGTTGCGGCGACGTACGTCCCCGTGCGTGCAGTTTTATTCGTACGTTCCCACCACGCCGCAAGTTCATCGGACACGCGTTATCAACCGAAATTGCGGCAAACAGTACTTTGTCATCAATCGTGTGATATACAAAGGCGTTTTTTCACGCACGGTAAAATTGTGACGAAAATCACAAAAATGGCAACAAAAACCATTCAATTTAATATTAATGAGATAGATATGAAGCTGTTTATCGGTGAATTTAAATTTCATCCCGGAATATGAAATACAGCTGACAATATTTACCACGATTAAACTAAAAAAGAGGAGCGTAGATTGAGTTTTATAGGGTGTTTTGTGAAGGATTTGACGAAAAGGATGAACGGGAAAAAAAATTATATATGTAAGTACTTTTATGTTACTCGTTCTTAATTTTATAATATTTGATTTATTTAATTTTTAAGAAATATTTGAATACATTATTTAATTATATAATAGAAAATATAAAGCCAATGAATAGGTATCTAGTTTACATATAATTTGTTTGCCAAGACACACTGCCGATATCTGAAACAAAATAATCCGCCAAATTGTTTCTTGCATTGATTGACTGATTAGTAGCTCTCGGAGTAGGTTTTGACGTGTTTTGTTCGATTTCAATGAATCCTTCTAACACTCATTGCTTCTTGAATGTTAAATCCATCTCTGGATCGTACGAAATTGTGCAGAACACAAGTTTTTACTAGAAGTATGCATAAATCTAAATTTGCATTAATCAGTTTTCGGAATATTTTCTATTTCTTTGATAGTATACTAAATTCACTTTCAACATATCTTCGAGCATGTGACAGCCTATAGTTGAAATGCTTTTTTTATCGGACAAAACTTTACTGCTATAAGCTCGCATTATTTTGAGTGAAAATGCCTCATTTCTGACAAACGTGAAGGGCATTTTTAGATTGTCAGTTTCGGGAAGTGGTTGACTTCCTAAAATATTCAGTTCGTTATTTTAAAGTTTTCAAATATTATACTGTCGGATTCTTTACAAAAAGCCCCAACATCAATATAAATGAATTTGTAATTTGCGTCTACAATTGCAAGCAACTCAATATGTTTGTAAACATAGATTGAAATGGTTGATGCTACATCTGATGTCAATTTAACAGAAATTGTTGAGTCTGAATTAGGTTATTTTCTAGCATATTATATGTGTATCATGCAAACTAATTCAACATATAATAAACAATCAACAAATAAAATAAATGTTTTAATGTTATAGTTAATTTAGCTAGTTTAAATTTGAAATAAAATTATTATGTGAACTATATTATTGAATGATTAATGAGTAATTAAATTAAAATAATTGGGTTCACTTAAAAAAAGTGCATAACCTTATAAACATAATATTTATGAAAAGTTTGTAAATTAGTTTATATAAAAATAAGTTTACTAAAATATCATTTTAAATTTATATTTCAATTTTTAGATTCAATTAGTTGATACTGATGTCAATTTACTGAAGAACATTAGCAAAGACCTGGAGAGTTTTGTTCAAACAAATAAAAAAGATTGTCTACAAGTAGACAATTATGATTTTTCCATAACTAACTATGAGAATGGTCAAAAAAGAAGATTTACTACAAATAAATACTATAGTAAGTTTTCAAATGATATGATTGATAGTAAAATGGATTTTTTATTCCAAAGTTAAAGACTCTGTTTACTGTTTTTCGTGCAAAATATTCCAACAAAACAAACAAAATGAGAGTCATTTGAGTAATATTGGTCTAAACAATTGGAAACATCTTTCAGAAAAATTAAAATCCCGTGAAAGTCCTAAGATTCATCTTCAATCAATTCAATCTTAGATGGAGTTAAATTTAAGAATATTTAAAAATTTAACAATTGATAAAGAACATTTGTCCATTATTGAAAAAGAAAAAATCACTGGAGAAATGTTCTTACTCATGTGATTAGTATTATTGTTCAAAACATTGATGCGTTCAGAGGACCATTGGATGTTATATTTACTAAAAGTAATGGTAATTTTCTTGGAGCAATTGAAATGCTAATTAAGTTTGATCCTGTTTTTATTGAAAATTTAAAACGAATAAAAAACCATGAAATGTATGTGTATTATTTAGGGAATGCAATTTAGAAGGAATTAAATTCATTAATGGCAACGAAAAACAATTATTAATAATATTAAAAATGCTCAATATTTTTCCGTCATAACGGATTGTACTCCTGACATTAGTCACAATAATCCCTGTTAAATATACTATTGGATTAAATCAAATACACTTATTGATAAACTAAATTACTATGGTATTGACATTCTGAACAGTAGAGGGTAAGAATACGATGATAGATCAAACTTGATTGGTAAATATCAAGGGGTACAGACAAGGGTAACGATGAAAGAATCAATGAAGAAGAAGAAAATTTTAGACAAGAGTATATCTTACTATACTATGACCCACGAGAGTCCAACCGTAAGAATGCATCCGTCGCTGAGCATCGGCCCCCCTTTCATACACCGAACCTTACCGATCGGAAGCCGGTCGGCAACGACAGTCGACAAGCGTTAATGACATTCGTGTGTACGTAACGACTGCAGTAATAACGATGACAGAATTAGTTTTTATTACCTACGTTTACGTTATAACGTATTTTTTTACGAGTTTTTTTGTGATAATTTTTTTCATTTTTTGTTTTCAATATGGACAATCAAGCTACATCTCCAAAAAGGAATCGTAGTGGACAGGTAAACATTTTAATATATATTTTATTTACCAAGAGTCACTTATGGCTTGAAACCGAAAACCTTATTTTTCGATTTCATTTTCGTTTTCAGTATAATAAATGTATATAAATCAAAATTTGTTTTTTTATAATTACTTAGGTTGTTCATACCGGCCAGAAACAAATTATTATTAATTTGTTCAAGGATATCCTCATCACAGATCCCGATATTATGTATGTCAATTTACTGATAAGAGTGTCTATAGCATGTGACATTGGAATCGGAACAATTAAAAAGACCATCAGTGAATACAAGCGTACGGGCAAAGTATACTCACAAATGAACAAAAAAAAAAGTCCAACTGTAATAGATAAAATGGACGATTTTGACAAAGATGCAATTCTTCGAAAAATGCATGCATTCTGGTTCAGACGAGAAATTCCAACACTGCAAAAAATGAAGCGTACGTCATTCCAAAGATTGTTAAAGAGCATGCAATTTGAGTACACAAAAAGGGACAGGAACAGTGCTCTTACCAAAGAGAGGATCTTGTTACTTGGTGGCGTAGTTATATTTCTGACATTTGACGTTATCGACAGGAAGGACGAACAATTTATTTTTTGGATGAAACGTGGGTCAATGCTGGAGATTGTTTGTCAAGAGTGCGGGTCGATCAAACAATACAGTCACACCGAAATGCTTTTCTCAGAGGCTTAACTACAGGGTCACGTAATCTACCAGGTAAAGGCAAACGGTTAATTGTTGTTCATATAGGGTCGGCTGAGGGTTTCGTCGCAGGTGGTATTTTGTGTTTCGAAACAAAAAAAAACACACCTGACTATCATGACGAAATGAACGGCAATACATTTTTTGAATGGTTTTGTGGTGTTTTACCTTTATTGAACGATAACTCGGTAATAGTCATGAATAATGCACCGTACCATTCGGTGAAAACAGAACAATTACCTTCCTCTACTTGGATAAAGGCTGCCATAATTGAATGGATTGAATTCAAAGGCATAGAGACCACCCCGTCCATGATTAAATTTGATTTGTTAAAAATTGTTCGAGAGATAAAACACAAATATGAATTCTACATGGTTGACGAAGAGGCCAAAAAACAAAAAAAAACTGTATTACGATTACCGCCATACCATTGCGAACTTAATCCCATTGAGTTGGCATGGTCGGTTGTAAAAGGACATGTGAAGACAAATAATATAACATTTAAGTTAAATGACGTTCGGCAATTATTAAACGATGGTATACAAAGAGTGACACCTGAAATGTGGTTCAATTTTGTTTCACACACAATAAAAGAATAGGACAAATTTTGGCAGATAGACTATACTTCTGATGAAATGTTGGACGAAGAACCGACATCGCACATGTTCACGATAACTGGATTGACGACTTCTGATTCAGAAAATAGCGATTGAAGATTTTTAAAATTATTATAATATCTTTGTAAATGATCATGCTTAATTTGTTAATTTATTATTACTATAATTATTATTTGTACTGTTAAGTTGTAATTTATATTATTATAATATAGGTACCTATGGTATTTAGTAAAAAATATTGCGTATATTTATAAACAAGCTGGCATAATATGGTAACGACATAAAAAAAAAAAAATAATGATATTTCACCACGTATTATATTATATTATGTTTATAAAAAATACCGGTTGTAATATGTTACGCCGCGGCGACGCTATTAATTAGCTGTGTTTTTATGAGCCGCTGTATACACGTTACCGAGTAGTGGAAATGGCGCCATGGTGGGGAAAAATTCGGGTACCAGACGTCGCGTTCGTCAGTATCGATGCGCGGTTTACGGACGGACTCTCGTGGGCCGTAGTATAGTTATAAATCAAGCAACTAGTTCAGTTGATAAACGTTTTAAACAAATTGAATCATACAAAGTTTATTTTGGGTTTTTATTTCACATTGGAAATTTACGATAATGGTAACAATTTAATGAAATATTGTTGTAAAGACCTTGAAATTGATCTAAAAGATGGGAATTTGAAAGATATTGATTTCATGGAGTTGTATAATGAATTAGTAAGTTTCAGATTGATAGTAAATGAAGAAACGACTACTCTTGAAATTTTGTCAGTGCTAAAATATTTAGAATGTTTTCCAAATATTGGTATTGCCCTTAGAATTTTACTGAAAACACCAGTAACTTCCACATGTGCTGAGAGAAGCTTTTCGAAATTGAAATTAATTAATACATATTTGAGAAACAAATTAAGTCAAGAAAACCTTTCTGGTCTTTCAATAATTTCAATAAAAAAAATATTTCTGAATCTTTAGATTATGATGATATCATAAATCAGTTTACTGCTAAAAAACCAAGAAAAGTAATGTTTTAAAAGTATTATTTTATGACTAATTTAATCAATAATTTGTATTGTTTATTAATATTGTTCTTTCTGTTTATTGATTATATTTTTACATTTTTTTTAAATTCATTTTAACTATAATATTTTTTATCTATATGTTTATATATATTATAAAATAATTGTATAATAACTTATTAAAATATAATATATTATGTATAATATGAAAGTTGATATTTAATAAAATTGGTTTAGTAAATACCGAGTTAGCTTGTATATGTAATCTTATTTTCGAGCAGAGCAAAAAATATGTTTTTGTGTACCTATAGTATACAGAAGATTACACATAGACTGTTATTTATTTTGCCCGGGGCCTCACAAATCCTATTGCAGTCTCTGGCTAAGGGTTTTCTTCTTGGCCTGGCCGGGCTTACATTAGGTATTATCCTCAATAATTTATTTGCGGTTATTGATGCTTTCTATGCTACTATATGGGAGTGTTCAATAAAATTTAGCTTTGAATCTATATGGAGACCAAATTATCTGAGAATTATCTGCAGCCGTTATGATTTTAACCAAGGGTGTTGAATTTTACTTTGTTTTAACAAATAGTCTCGACAATTATTTACATTGATTAATGTATTCCCCGAAAAGAGAACAGCAGTGAATAAATTAATTTTATCTGGACAAATTTCTTCGACTGTTTTCAAAATATATTCCTTAACAATTTCACCATCAGTAAAAGGTTTTTCGGTTATTGCCAGAGTACGAGCTACTTGAAAACTTGCTTTTACAAGAGACTCATTTTGACCTAGCCGTTTTGTAAAAATTGATTGCTGAGCTAGTCAATTTTGTTTTAAAATTTCAAACTTATCTACTCGTAGGTGACTAGACAGTTCGTTATATGTAGATGCGTGTTTGTTTCGTGTCTACGAATATTATATTCTTTTAAAACAGCAACATTTTCTTTACAAATAACACACAATACAAAGTTATTTTGTTCGATGAAAAAGTATTCATAATTTCAATTTTCGTTAAAAACTCTTTATCGACTTTTTGTTTTTTGTTTAAACTTATAATTATTAAACCAGATCACAGCAAAAAGAACAACACTCGACAAAAAACAATACTAAACTGATTCAAATATATTATACACTCGTATGCTCGTAGTCACGCGTTTTACGATTGATGGTTTTCGATTAACGATCGCCGCCGTAAACACGATAACGCAATGCTCTAATGGCAGTATTACAGATCTAGAGTTTATTCTAAGTAGTAATCTTAATCTGAGTCCCCACATTAAACATATTTGTTGTAAAGCTTTTAAAACTTTGGAGTTTGTCTTAGGATTATGTAAAAACTTTCGGTTAGGCTTATCCTTTTAGATGCTATATTTTGTATTTTTATGATCTATTTTGGAAAGAGTTCAACGAAAATTCTTGAGGTACGTAAGCGTTAAATTGAATATCCCTTGTGAACTCTATAACTATGAAACTAGTGCTTCGCAACTTAGTATGGTTTCCTTAGCTAAGCGTAGTCGTATCTCTAGCATTAAGTTATTAGATAGTTTGTAACGAGATAATATTGATTCTCCTAAATTACTTTATTTAATCTGCTTCAGAATATCTCAACGCTTCTCCCGATCTGTTGCTACTTTTTATGTACCTTTTGCCTCTACCAACTATCTTAAAAATAAATCCATCGGACGTGTGATGACTATATCAACGTTGACCCTTCATTTCTTTTAAATTGTTTTATATAATAACTGTGCAGTTAAGTAGTAATAAGGCGTAAGTAGTAAGCTTTAAGTAATACATTGTAACAATTAATGCATATATATATACATATGTATAATGTATGTACAAGTATATATTATGTTCAAAAGGGTTTATAACGTATATTTAATAAAAATAGAAAATAAAAATGAAATTAATTATATATGCATTAAATATTTTCTTTAATTATATTTGTTTTTTTCCCGGTTTTTTTCATGTTTTTGGAAAACTGAGAAATCGTAAATCGGAGCAAAGTTGTTGGTAGAAAAATTGTCCACAGGAAAAAAAATAAAGTTGTAATATTTTTTTACTAATACCTTCATTTTGTACAGTTTCCCGTTTCTCCTCCGTTTTTTCCCGGGTTTTGCCATTTATTTAGAAAACTCCAAGGAAAATCAATAAATGACTTCCCTTAATAAACATCATTGTAAAACCAATACAGTTTCGTTCAACTCAGGATCTAACACAACTCAAATATATGATCTAAGACTTAACTACTTAAATGCAACAGTGCAGGACTTACAATTTCAAGAATTGCAAAAAAATAAAAAAGTAGATGAATAATTATGAGTAGACACTGTATTTGAATATTAAAAATATATATTATAAAATAAATAAATAATCTTAGGATTAACTTATGCAAGTTGTTTGGCTTAAATTGATGATATTGTGCCCATGTGATAGCTTTATCAAAATTAATTTCATTGTGTGCTTCAGAAGGTAGCAAAATATGTTCTAATGTTGTAGATCTTAATCTAGTTTTTATAAATTTTATTTTTGAAAATGTACGCTTAGCTGAAGTAGAACCAATAATCATCGTGCATAAGGTTTTAAACTAATACCAACATTTCGTAAATTATTTACCTGTTTTTCAATGTATTGAGAAAACTCTTGGGAAAAAAAAAAAAAAAGACTTCTTTAATGTACCTCCCCAGTCAGATTTATTTTTAGAAAAAAGGCCATTATTCTAAATCGGAGCAAAATTGCTGGTAGAAAACAAAATTTTAAAACCAATTTATTTCTCGATTCACTTACAATATAAAATGGTATTTGGAATGGGAAAATTCAAAACAAAATTCGAGACAACTGTTGACCCTGATAAATGGATTAACTTTTAATAAAATCTATAAAGCATTAATACAAAAACAATCTAGTTTTATACTTATTGAGCCATTCATTATTATGCCCTACTCTATCTAGTGATATCTAGTGAATGTGATAGTTTTGATAATTGTCTGTTTTTTTTTTTTTGGCATTATGCATAATATCTGATTGATATGAATAATTTTGATATTTCGTATATGTATAGCATTATTATCAAGGATGTGGCCTTCAACTAGGGGACTTCAACTTTCAATTCTCATCCCAAAGAAAATAAAAGTAAAGAAGATTAGGTTTTTCTATTATTCAAACTAGGTAGGGAATAATTAGATTCTAACGGTGGAGCTTTGTTGCTTACGAGTGATTCTAGATATAGTGATTTTAATTTAAATTGTGTATTTGCATTTATTATTTTTTAACTAAGTTTTTTTTTTTCTATTTATTTTTCTATTTTATTAAATTATTAATGTATAAACCAGAACAGAAAAATAAATTAAGTTAAAAAAATAATGAATAATGAATATTACATGTTTATACATAAATTAAAATCACAATTTAAGTATATTAGGTAGTATATTTGAAACAATTTTTATTTATTTTCTTCAAATATTCAATAAAATATAAATAAATAAATATATTAAAATATTTTCATAGAACAAAACATGGTTTATTAAAAAATATCAGTTTTTTTTTATGAAAATGTGATTGGAGGCATATAAGTACTAGAAACAATATTATTGGAACACTTCAGATCATAGATTTTTATGATTAACTTGTAATTTAATGTAATTTGAATAACTCGTAATTATGTTGAAGTGTGGGCGCAAGTGTGTTATTATTATAAATAAATAAATAAAAGATTGAAAAAGATTTTAAGCTTAAGGGCTATGTCTTCATTTATATTTTCCAACAATCTAATTCGTGGGATAGGTACCTATACAAAAAATACATACCTATTACTCTATTTATAATAATAACGTTTGAAATTTTATACTTATTTTATGAACTTTGTTTATTTGATTATAGAATACTAATACAATTCTACAAACAGAAGTGGATGGAATTGAATACGGTGGCACTCTGAATTTGAATGTTTTAAAACAAATTGAAAAACTGGTACAATTTTGAGTAATTTATATTATGTAATTAAAGTTTATTGAACGTGTTTAGATTTCATTTTAAAACTAAATATATGAAATAATGAAAATTAAATTGTTAATGTTACTGGAGTGAAAAAGCAAACAATTAACATTTTTACAAGTCATTGGACACAATACGTTTAAATATCTTAAATATTATAACAAATTTAAAAAAAAAAAAAAAAATGGTTAGAATAAGAAAACAAAAATACATAAAATCACCATTCAAAATGTTAGTATACACATAGTATATGTATATGTATACTATATATGTATACTATGCATACACATAGTAGAGAGAATCTATTTTCGCCATAAAACTCTACGTTTAAATTAGTTCCACACTTAACAATGGACTTTGTATCGAAATCGAATTAATTATTCTAAAGTGCAGTCCAAATTTTTTTTACAATAAAGAACAAAATCATATACACATAAATCAAAACAAAAAACTCGAAAATCTTAAATTACATTTAAAAACCTCAAATTTCGTGTCTCCATTTATTTTACATATTATTTCCAACTGATAAAAACAAGGAGTATCGAAAAATTGACCATCTCAAAATTAGTTAGGTACATGGAATCATTCTTGATGTACACGGTTTCATCAAATTGTCTGGTAGGGCTCTAACGATCTGGTCTTTTTAAGGTCAGACCGAACCAGTGAAGTCAAATTAAGACCAGGATCGAACCGAACTAATGGAATAAATCATAGGACCGGGGTGGACTGGATCGTTTATTTTTTTTTTTTGACTTAATAATATCGGAACTACTGCAATAAAAAATATTAAGACCACACTAGAATAGACCGAACCGGACTGAACTGGACTGGACAGGACTGAACCTGTTAGGGACTAATTTATTAATTTACATTATATTATAATTAATAATAGAAAATATTTAAACAATATATAATTTAAAATTTAAATAAATAAATAAATATAATTGAAATATAATAAAATCATTACATGACTTTTAAAATTTAAAATAGGCAGTGACAAAGGAGCAAATCTCACATTACCAAACACGTGATGGTCGTTCAATTAGTATACAAATAACATACAAAACCCAAAATTATATTTTGTTGGCTGTGTTATTCATTTCCAACGTGTGTATTTGAAATAGTTTCGTTAAATATGATTGCCCCAGAGCCCAGATAATAGTTTATTTTCTACTTCTTAGGTAACATTATAACTATTTAATTACTCTCTATCGGCATTTAAACCGGACCTTAAAATTGTAGACGGACGGAAACGGAATATAGTTAATTCCAAGACCGAAAAGAGTGGACCGTAGTGATATCTAAAATAAAAAAGACCCGATTGTGCAGAGCTCTAATCTGACCAGACAAAAAAAAAAAAAAATAATAATACACATCATGTTATAGTAAAACCAATAGGTTAGATTTGTTGAAAATATAAAATGCTATTACTTTAATTTAAATTTTGTACTTTTACAAAACGACCATAACAGTTATGGTTTTTATATTTTAAATAGATGAATAAGAACTATTTAGACAGTGATAACAACAAAACACGGTAATACAATACAAATTTTAATTCGTAACTATTCCAAATTACTAAGGTATAATATACTATACGAGTGTATTTTTAAGGCAAACCGATTACGAAGAAAACGAATCACGAAAAACATTTGAGTTGGTGGTTATGAAAGAAATGGAATTGCTCACATCAAGGGTAAATAAATTCGAAAATATTGCAAGTAAGTAATTTAAACAGTTTTAGTATCTATTACAAATACCATAGGTGTATATTTAATATTAATACAGTTATAAATTCGAATAAATAATACCTATATACTAGGATTTGAGTTTATATTCAAATATATATATTTACTGAGGCATGATAAATTAATTTTATAAAACTGCAGGTAATTTAATTTCTTGTGCTTTTTTATAAATAAATTAGCAATATTTGATTTTATAGTATAAGATATCGACATAATTATAAACATTAATTCTTATTTTGATTTTTTTCACATATAAATTCAAATTAGGATGAATTTTGTAAAAATTACGGTATTTCGCATACTGTTTTGCAATTTATGTGTATAAAATTTGTTTTTCTCAACAAAGATGTTCGAAAATTTGAGATGAAAAAACATATATAGCCTATTACCTTGTATTTTTTACCTTCCTGACTTCATATTAGTGGCATACTTATGGTGTGAAGTAAGTCCGTTTTTCTTTTACTAAATATGAATAATTTATGGAGATCAGAGAATATATTGTTACAAATTTACTACTATATAAATTTAAATTCTACTAATTATTACTAACCGTTAGGTAATAACCACAAAAGTAATAATAATATTATTTTATTACATACACACACATTTATATATGTTATAATATTTTATCTTAATTAGAAATTTTCAAAAAAAAAACTATTAAAATCATGGTACAACTTATTTGTTTATTATTTTACTAGAAATCCTCTATATACCAATGATACTATTTTTAAAATCTGAGCGTAGCGATGAATCTATTTGTTTTAAATGATGTTTATTATTATTATTATTATTTTTAACTCTTCGAGCAAGTTTTCCATTAGATATCTTGTTCTTATATATCAAGTGTAAAATGAAGTTTTTTTTCTATATGTTTCAAAATCAAATTATGATGAAAATTGAAAATATTACAGCCTCTCAAAACGTATATATCCAAATTTCGCTCCAAATTAGTTTTTGTTATTAATGGTTTATCGTTGGGTTGAGGTATATATTAAATAACTTTATGTATTCCATCTTCTCTCCTACTTACCTACAACAGTAGCCGCACCCGCCAACCCACTTTTTTTTATTTTGTACTAATATGATTTCATGGATTATTTTATTTTGATTACAGGAGTTCTGCAGCCAATTAATAGCGGTGTAGACCTATCTGTAATAAAATTATTTACCTAAAAGATCTAAAAAAATGTTTATAATATCTTTAATGGTTCTTTTTTTTTCAGAATTCATCTAATTTTGACTCAGAAAGGTCTGAGAGGAGTAGATCCCAGAAAAAAGTTCACGTAAAACCCTCTCCTTCGAACATATTTGGACCAAGTAATATTTTATTGAAATGTTATTAATAGCCTGTTCCCTTTGTTTCATTGTCATCACTTCGTACATGTAGGGATGGCCATTAATCTATAAGTGGACGTATCAACTATGACTATGTTCTATAGTCATTGGTCTTTCGAGCTGTGATAAAACAAATATGAATTTAAAATAAAATGGTTTGAGATATTTTGGAAACAAATTCTAATTAAACTTAAATTTTTCATTTTTAGTTTTTAAAAATCTACATGAATCTATTAATTATTATAAAGGAAAATACAGAAATATTAAATAGAACAAAAGTTATTGAATTTATCAGATCTCTGTGGGACACTGTATTTTATTGTGAATATAATAATTTTTGTTTTGCACATTAATATTAAAATTATTTGTTTTTCTAGAGGAGTTGCCTATTAATGAAATTATTGGTTCGAAAATTCGTGAAAACATTAATGTAGGTTCAGCTAAGTCTATCACGTTGTTAGACGGAACTACATGTGACCAATCGTCACCGTCCATAAATAGCACCGAAATTGAAAATAATGATACTTTATCTTCATACATTATTAATCGACAAGCATCGTATTCCACTACAGAAAAATATATTCTAACAAAGTTCGTTTTTTGTGATAAACGATAATTTATATACTTAGTTATAATTTATAAATATATAATTGCATATCTACATAGTCAACAGCCAAACGCATTGCTGAAACATATTGAAAAAATATTGGGAAGAATGAATAAAGTTGAACATGAAATACAAATGTTAATGGAAAAAGAGGTTAGACACACGGTACATAACTATTTAAATTTTAATAATTTTTTGACTTTCAGAATAATTTAAGCGAATCTAAGAGTATTTATTCAGAGACCAGTTCAGATGATGTTAATTTGGAACCTGACATTAGTCATTATGTTCGTTTTAATGTAAGTAGGTAACGAGTATTTAATTAGTATTTTCTATTTTTCCATTGTATTTTTAGTAAATAGACATTATTGTATATGTATACATTAATAGAGGACCACCTTAGTATACATAATAATTATATATATATACAGTAAATTCTGATTAATGTGATCACTGGTTTATAGAATTAAGCGTTTATTGGAATCAAAAAGAAAAGTCCAAAACTAAATCTTATGTTAATAATGTTAAATTAACCTTTTATTAAAATCACCAAGTACCGGATAATTGAATCACTTTTATGAACATTCTTATCGTTTTTATGGTATTGTATGTTTTTATTATATTTATATGTATCTTTTATTGTACATTAATTGAATATGCATTTTAATTTCAGGCTAATATAAAAATTAAATTAATAGATTCTTAAGTAGAATCGAAAATAGATTCTTAGCTTTTTTTTTTTTTTTTAATGTATTTATTTTATTTTAAGTTTATGTATAAATATAGAATCATTAAAAAGATTGTCTATAGAATCAACCTGTTAATAAAATCAAAATGGCCTGAACCAATGTGATTACATTAAATTTAATTCACTGTATATCATATCAGTAGTGTAATAATTATAAGGGGGAGATACCTTTTATTTTAGATTCTGAGCGGAACGAGAAATATATTAGTTTTACAATAATGTTAATTTTTTATTTTTTCCTGTGAATTTTCTATCATCTTCCAAAAATGTTGCTCCAAATTTCAAGTGTAGCACCATTTTTGGAAATTTTACAGGATTTGTTCCTTAAAAAGGATATTTTTGATGTTTTCAAGGGTTTTAAAAATAAATGAAAAAAAAAACTATAGGAAAAATAGGAAAATGTACGTAATGTATTATTTACAAATTATGAATAGCCTTTCAAAACATGTGTAACTGAACATCACTCAGAATCGTTTTTAGATAGCAACGGTTAATCTTTGAGTACAGATATGTATTAGATTTCCGTTCTACCTTCCTAACTTCTCATCTACAACAGCTGCCCACCCATCGTGCGAAATATGTTCGTCATTTTTAACATGTAATTTACAAAATGAGGATAAAAGGGATTTTTTTAATGATAATATGTAGGTGTAATAAAAACAATGTACATAAAATTATAATGCAAAATTATACATTTTTAAAAATTCTTCGTCGGAATAGACATTACGTTATATAATATGTGAATTCCCTTAACCAGTTAACTGCCCTAAATACTACATTTGGTAACCACTTCGTTTATACTCTAATTATACATATTTTTAACTCTTACATTTTCCATATCCAATTTTAGTACTGGTGCACAAATTATAATTCCAAAAATATCTTTACCATCAAAAATATGAGAATTCAATTACATTTTTTTTTTAGATTATTTTGATGTCCCAATAATTATCTGCTTCATCCAATAAATTTTAACGAATTACATAATATTTCAGAAACAATATTTATTGTAAGCAATTGTATCCACAAATTTAATACTAAATAAAAATTGCACACAAACATTTTAATTGAATTACAACGAAAAAACAAAATTGAAAATGACAAAAGCATTATTTTCGCAAATTTTCTCGTTCTTTCTAGGTTTTTTTTCCCCGGATTTGCTCAATTATTAAAAAATAACCAAAAAATGACTTACTTATTTACCAACTAGGTTAAAAATCGAATAAAAAGGCGTTTCTAATGAAACAATATTTCACGTAGAAAATATCACAAGTTTAAAATAATGAAATCGTGTTCCCCCTTTATTAATTATCTCCCTCTTTATCGTCCGACGATGGCCCATATTTCCGGAACCTAACCGAGTTGGGGCTAGCGCCCGAATCTAAATATATAAACATATACAATTAAATATTCGTATAACAAGCAATGAAAGCATATTTTATCTTTTATTAATTTCAATGTTATAACTAACACAAGCTATATCGTTAGTATTTTTTTTCGTACCTAACTTAGTATTTTTAAACTTCAAAAGTTTATTAATAATATGAAAATAAATAAGTATAATAAATAATTGAATCATTAAACTAATACGTTTATTTACATTTCATTTATAATATTATAATGAATAATTAATTCTGAGTTAAACAATAAGTATATTATTATTATTGTTATTAAATAATTTAATTCTATGGTTTTACCATTATTATACTATAGTAAATTACTTAATAATATATAAACATATTTACATTATTACTATACTACAACTCTTAATGATAGCAATGTTTCTAAAAGGAAATTACACTAGCGAGGTACATTAAAGAGGCTATTTTTTGATTTTCCGAAGATTTTTCTCAGCAAATGTGAAAAACCTGGCTAAAACATGGGAAAACTGGGAAAAACATAAAAAAACTAGAATATCGGTACAACACCAAAAACATTTTATTAAAGAAAATAGCCTGTTTAATAATCTAACTATAAAATTACATATATATTATTGACAAAGCATCAATATCAACTGAACTCCGCTCAGAATCGTTTTTTCTTAAGTAATAGTTTGTTCTTGTTTATAGGTATACATTAAATTATATATAACAGTGGCTGCATCAAACTTCATTATTCTAAGATGTCTTTTTACCTTGAATTCGATTTGTTATCTTCAATATAACTAGCTAGATTTTTTTTTAAATTTTTTTGTTTTTGGTAAGATTTTCAGTAGGTCTACCTCTTGCACTCTCTTCGAATCCTAATTTTTTTCTAGAAATTGAAGTTGGTTAAGTTTTTGTTATTCATCTGAGCCATAAATGAAACTGCTTCAGATGAACTAGTTATCGCTGATAATTTTATCATCAGGAAACTCATTATTTTATGCATGCATTAGGAGTATTTGATTTTGAAGCTAAAGTGGTTATTCTATTCAAATGATCCTGGAGGATTTTGGTTATTTCCGATGTTTTGTTGTTATTATATAATAATTCCAATAATCCATCAGTGTGATAACTGTGCAAAAACAAGTATATATTTTTTTGTGTTTATAATTAGTGTATATTACAACCAAGAAGAATTCTATCTGATCTTGTTGAACTAAAAACAAATGTCTTACATAAACCACTTTGTTCACAAAATTAACTACTATCAATAAATATTATTTGACCAAATATTTTAATTCATTTAATCATTTTATAATTGGCGTTACTACAATAACAATGAAAGGATTTTCACTCACTAAAACGTTTATATCATTGTCATCAAATAATTTTTTTTTTTTGATCTTTAGAACATTTGCCATGTATTCTACATACGTACCAAAATGTTCATTCTTAAAGAGAATATATTTTATTTTAATCATTTTAAGAAATAAAATATGTTAAGGTAACATGAAATAATATATTTTAGAAAAAATCATAGTAACAAATTCATAGTAAATTTCAAAAGTGTCAGGAAAAAAACATAAAACGATAGGATACATTTTTAGTTATTTTATTTATATCTATAAGCAACGATAAACCATTACCAACGAAACACAATTCGGAGTAAAGTTCGGCGATACATATTTTTATAGGCACACGAATTTCGTCAAAATTTGATTTTAAAATTCTTATACAAAAAAAATTCTACTCTGTTTTTAAATACAGTATTTTTCTTTTTTTTTAAACGTAGTAAAATTATCAAAAAATTCTATCAATTTATAAGGTATTTTTAAAAAAAATTACATTTTTGATGTTTTTAATTTTTATTTTGTGTGAATGAAATTGTTTTGGCTCAACAGAAATGCTTGAACATTTAATACGAATTTCATTGTAAGTTCTATTTACTGGTGTATTTATAATAAAAATAAAACTGTACGTAATTTACTTTTTTTATATGCGTGTTTTTAAGTTCAAATTTTAACTAAAATCAGAAAAATGATGTCATTTCAAAATATGTAGAACTGAACTTCGCACAGAATCTTATTTTAATTCTCTAAATTAACGATGATATACCTACGGGGATTGGTGTGCACTGCCGTTTTTAAGCGATACAAAAAGTCATGTAAACACACAGTTGAACTAATACAATTATGATGCATTGAAAAATAAAAATGGTTTTTCATTTAACCCAACATTTTATTTCCATAATATCCAGTCTTTATAAATGTCTACATACTTAAGTGGATTGCAACTATAGATGACAATTTTAAAGTGCCTTATATTATTTTAAATAGTTACACGAATCGGTTATGCAAGAAGTAAAATTAAAAACGTTGGGTAAAAAGGATGTTTTTCAAAGATTATTTAGAGTAACCCAAAAAAAGAAGGATTTAGATAGTTACCTAACAGTTAGAAACTTCCGTTCGTTCTTGGAAGATTATACAGAAAAGTTTGGTATAATTCATGAATTCTTAATGTTTCACGTAAATATTATTTAATAATAAACAATACAAATGTAGTTGAAAACCTATTAACTTTTGAATTGTATTATATTTTATAGAACGAAAGGATAATGACGAAAGTCGATTCAAAGGATTATGAGTCTTTTAAAAATACCGTAAGAATTACACATCATGAAATAAAAAATGATATAAAAGAATACACTTTGAGAGACCCAGAAGCAGCAGGAATAGTTCATTTTGTCAAGTAAGGAAAACCTTAATATTTTATTTAGTTATCATTTACTCTATATTATACGAGATGTGGCTATTAAATAACGAGACTGCTCGCCTAGAGGGGGCGCCCTAGATAAGTAGTGAAAAAAACGAGTAATGCGTTGGGTATCTAGATATCTTATCTATGCACGTACCAAAACACGTTTTCGTCAATATTATAGTATTTGTGCAGTAGTGGTTTGAAACGAACGTGTTTTTTTCTCGTGACGAAAAACATGAGCAACGGATAAACGTAACATTTTCTCGTTAAACTAAAAAAAACTCCAACTGAGTGCTATAAGTTGTTAAAAGAGGCCTATAGTGAGGATTTCCTATCTCGGACGCGTGTTTTTGAGTGGCGTAAATTATTTTCTGAAGGTCGNCAACATTGCGCGAATGAGTTCGTAAGAAACGGTCGATATTGTGGAAAAACAAGTCGTGGATCTTGCACCAGGATAAAGCGTGAAGCGTTATTTGGCCGCTTAAGGTACTCCAGTACTCACACACGCGTCTTACTCATCCGACTTGGCACCCTGTGACTTTTACTTGTTTCCGAAGATAAAGTCTGCCTTAAAAGAAATCCGGTTTGAGTCGATGGAAGAGGTGAAACAAAAATCGGCGGAACTCCTGAATGGTCTTACGAAAACAGACTTCCAGAACTGCCTCGAGCAATGGAAGAAACGAATGAAACGGTGTGTGGCGAGGGGAGGGGAGTATATTGAAGGGGAGCATTTGGTTGTGGAATAACTTTTATAATAAAACATTTTTTCGTAACCAGTCTCGTTATTTAATAGCCACACCTCGTATACTATAAACAAATTTCAACGGACTAGTTTTTAGATATATTTTTGTTTTTTGAGGTAATGCGAATTCTGTTTTGAGCCAATTGAGACTATTTTTCAAACATTTTTCATATGTTCTATTCGATTGGTCCCATTTTTTTATCAAGCACAATGGTAAAACTTCGTATTTTTGAAGAAACTATATCTTCCATCGTTCTATAGGAAGAGACTACATCATCATAGTCATCATTCCGTTGTTCCATTGTTCCATATTTCTTATTAATGTATTTAAATAATATTTACATAGATTCAAAATTGTAAGGCTTGAGCGGACCGTTTTCACGTAAATATTAAAATAAATTGGAAAAAGTAATTTGTGTTTTCCTGTTGACATTGCTACACCCAGGCTACCCAACTAAAAAACATATTGTATATCAGATAAGGGCGGATAAAGGCAAACGAAATTTATCGGATACTAAAACATAGTATTTATACTATATAATAAATATAATTGCTAAATGTTACTATTTATTACTTAGTAGTAGGTATTGTTTTGAAATATGTATAATACAATTATATTCAGAGGTTCAAATAGACAAGCAAAAAATTTAATTAACTACTCAAACAAAAACAAGGCATAAGCAGCTCTCTTAATACAATGTAGTGCAAAATAAATTAATTTTAAAAGGGACAGAGAAAAAGAGGGAAGATGGAAGGGACAAAATGGAAAAGAAGGAGATAGGGAAAGGAGGGAGTTGAGTAGAGTAGAGTATGGGAAAGAGTATAGATGGGTTATACGGGGGTGATAGATGTAGGTTTATTCATATTCGTATGTATGATGTATGGCGCGAACGCACGGCGATACGATGATTGACGATAGTGTTACCACAACGCGCAATGGGTCGCATAAGCCCTTGAATATACTTGCAGCGTAATATGTTGAACAAATTGGTATAGTGTGTGTAAATGGTTTTATGTGTGTTTGTGCGTGTGGTCGTTCGGATTGTATTGTAATATATGTACGAATACCTATATTGTGTCGATAAAAACACGTATCTATTATATATATATTGACGATGGCTATTGCCTATCGTAAGAAGTTATACTTCTCTTTTGTCTATTTTACTCTTATAAATATTATGAAAATATGTAAGGTTAACACTTGCCTTATATTTTCTGCTTGATAAGGTATATAGGTATCGATGAATTGTTGCAATGTATAGACCTCGTTAGGTACACAATAGACGTACGAATACTCTTTTGCCTTCGGCTCATATCGCGACAACCAGGTTTATAAACAATGCTAGTACAGCAAGAATTGTATTTTCTCCACTGCCCTTTCTAAGCTTATAGACAATCGTCTCACGGAGGTAAATTAGTCAGACGTCAGCACTACGACCACGTCCATTCTGCATTCGCAACCGGTTAACAAGATGTGTATAGCCATCATCTACGTGCAGGAATATTATGTATTTTTTTTTGAAGAAAAAACATAGTCTATGGTTAAACAATAGTGACAACAAGCACAATTACCAGGTATATAGGGTAGGGATAACCAAATACAGCAGCTCGCCTTCGGAATCTGCAACTACTGAATAGGTTTTGAAAAAAGTTATGGTTGGAGTGAGTGAGCAAAAAATGACTGCTTCTGCTAGGTGAATCCAGAAAAGTGATTTAATTAGTGATGTGTAGGCCGTATTTAAGCCTTCCACGGTCACCTGCGTCGACGACTTTCTACGTGGGCGCTTTTATGTGAGCGACGAGCGTAATTCATATTTTGAATTAATATGTGCCGTATTAAGGTGGCAACACTGTTTAAGAAATGTTTGTGATGGAACTGGTAATTATGCTGTGTAACCTTGATCGTTTATTATACAAGTATAAATATTCAATATATTACATCAATATAAATAACAAGATTATAATTTTGATTTATATTAAGATTTTCGACTTTAAATGTTAGCAGATTGTTTTAAGAATTTCTAATACTTTGTAAAAACCATGAATAGTATTGTAATAAATAAATAGGTAGGAGGAAAGTGGAGAACGATATAATCTTGTTGGCTACGTAGAACATTCATTACCTCCTATTTAGTTTCTATTACAATTTTGTATGACTAACGCAAAATTAATTTTCTTTTAAAAAAGTTAAACGAAAATTTATTTGTTTTTATAAACTAGTTTTATCATAATTTGGCATTTTTTTAATTTGAATATCTTCATGGATTATTATTTTAATATAATTACATTTAAAATAGAGGAGTGACGTGTATATCATGTGAGAAACCTGTCATGATGAAGACGACAAATGTACCTTTTAAGCATCCAACAAAGGGCGTTTTTTTGCCACGGCCGAGTTTGAAAGCTCATCTCACCTACGAATTGGATCGGGTCAGAAAACAATACAATCGGTAAGGTTAGTTACGTTAAGGTACGGTTTCCCTGCATAGACTCTGCCTTTACCCTGTTTTCTTTATAGTATCAGACGCATTAAATTTTATTATTTAATATTACTCTTTTACGAGTAAAATAGTATAATTAAAAAAAACTACTTTTTAACCACTGCTACCGTTGCTTCTTCCGCACCTAGTTTCCACGTTTAAGTTCTGTATTTTAAATGAAAATTTAATTTTCAACAGTATTAAAAATAATAATAATACTTTTGAATTATTGCTTCATAAACTGAAAATCAATTACTTATGAGCAGAGTCCAGAATTTGAACTGAAAAAATCGGTTCTGGAACCAGTTAACCTTATAAATTTAGATACTATAATCGTAACTAGAACCTTTATTTCAAAAAAATGAAAAACGTGATTTGATGACTGAATGAGTTTTTTTTTAAATTAAAGGATTGAATTTAAAATTATTATTACCTAACTCAATTTTATTTACGTACCTTATATTATGGCGTTGAGCTAAAAATTATTAGTAACAAAATAAATTGTTTACATTTTAAGTAAACAATGGAATTTATATTATAGGTTGCTATTTAAAAATCAAAAGTGAGTAGAGATTTCATACCCAAAAATAAGGGTAACAAAATGAACAATATTATAAAATTTTAAATTTTAAATGTTCTAAAACAAATTCTGAAAAAGTACATATTGTCCAAGATAATAAGTGTCTTATGTAATTATTTTAATCACTCTATATTATTAAATATTCAAAAAACTATATAATAAAATGTTACGGTAAAATTAAGAATGTTGGTGAAATCTAGGATTTATCAGTCAGTCTATTAGTCAGTCGGTAGTTTAACAGACTACAATAAATGATACATTTCGGATTTCAAATGTCCTAATTTCGGACTCTGACTTATTAATTTAAAAAAACCTTATATTTATACAAAATAGTTTGGTTAAACCCCATACATAAAATTGTAAGATTTTCTATGTGTAACAATATTTTTCTGATCTGTGTTAAAAATAAAAACAATTTTGAATTTTTAATATTGCTCTTTTATTTTTCTTCATATTATTTATTTCATAATAATATTTATAATTGTTAGTTAGCTATTATTTGATAGTGATTAGAGTTATGATTTATTTCATATTCATAATTACTATTTTATTTGTTATTTATTTAACTATTTCTTTTCATTTTATAAACTTAGCTAAATATACCATATTCTTTACTGTAAGGAAACAAGTTTAATTATAAAATAAATAGGTAATTGTAAAAATAATTTTATTTCATGTAATTTCAAGTGTAACCATTCTCTTAGTCACTAAATAGAGAATTAGTAAAAAATATTTTTAACCCCTAAAAAATATATTGAAGTGTGGTTAAGACGGTTGATTTATCAAAGTTATTGAAAAATGTACATTTTAAGGCCTGAATGAGTGATAAAATTTAGATTATTTCTTCTGATGATTTTGATCTAAAGATCTTGCCCATAAAATTATTATTTATGGATGTAAAAAATAAAAAAAAAAAACTGTCACGACCTTTAAAAATCTAAAAAAAAATTTGGGAACTTTATTAAGCTTTAAGGAACACAATATCACGAGAATAAGAATATCTGATAAAAAAAAATTCTGAAATACCCTAATATATATGAATATACTAATTTATTCGTATTTCAAAAATTATTTATTATTAATTTTACTGCTATCGAACTTTTGGTAACCCTATTGCGAACGATTTCTGTACCTGACCCTTAAAATTATTACGATTGCGTACAAAAATGAGTGCAACGTTATAAATATGTACTACTCAGTTTATTTACTATATGTATACAATTGTTATGTGATCGTATAATATACAAATACCTAGTGGCTAGTTAATATAGTAAATTAACTATCAAGTAAAAATTATCTATATATTAATAAAAAAATATTTTAAGTTATATTTGATTAGATACTATTGAAATAAAACCAATAGTAGTTAATTCAAATTATTATAAATTATAATGTAAAATCTTAGCATCGATAATCAGTCCTTGTAGAAAAAAAATGTAATACATTATATCAAAAAAAAAAAAAAAAATTATAATATAATTATTTTTTTGTATTCACTAGCAAGACCTTCGGATTTTTCACTGTATTTATTATTTTTACAATCTTTTCTTTTCTTTTTTACACAATCCTGTGGTGCTTTACAATTTAATACAACATAAATATATAATATCTTCTTTTAATTTTATTTTTATACAATTAATACATATGTAAAATTAGATAAAGAGGTTGATAGCAGTAACGAATTTAAGGGTTCAAATAAAGTCGGCAAATCTATATGAGGAGCCTCGTACAAAGTGTATCAATAACAATAATAACAGTAACATACTTACCCCAAATATACAAAACTGATTGCTTCGCTCGCGATAAATTCATCAACCAATATTCATTTTATAATAAAAAATCTTTTTAAAAATATTACACCACTTTTACAAATAAAACAAAATTAATAGTTAGAATATAAAATATAAAATTACGAAATTATAGTTGAGAATCTCTTCGAACTATAGCCTTGGAAAAATCGTTGATAAAATCATTCATATCAAGAAGTTATTTGTACTGCTTCATACTCCATGGAAAATTAGGCTAAATTTCTTGTTCGACTTTAAACCGTAGTTGAACGAAGATCATTTTTAATTTTCTTAGTTAGAATATCTTAATCTTGGTTAGTTATTTTCATAGCTCTTTTAGCACTCACACTTCCAATGAGTAATGTTAAAAATATTTTAAATAAGTTTCCATTTGGGGCAACATGTCAGCTAATGAATGTAAAATAACTTAATATATTATCTATTGACTATTGGTGTATTTCAATTTGTATTGTGTATGAATATACATACACAATTTACGATACGGTGAAATTGATTATAAAATCATACATTCGTACATAGAGATTAGTACGCATAGATTAATTCGATTACATCTATTATAATTATAAATAATGTTATTTGTGATCAATGGTAGCTGTATTCAGCATTATCTAGATAATACACAAAATTAGTTATCTGATGAATTATCTTAGATGAATAATTGAGTTATCTAATGTATTTATCTAGATAATTGAATATATTTACCTATCCGAAAAATTCGAAAAATTGAACTTGAAAGTTAAAAACTCATGTCTCATTAGTAAATCATCTTTATACAAATAGAGGACAAAATTAAAAACACAAAATAATAAAAAATATTATCCGGGTCGCTTATTTATGTTATTTCTAAATTCTAATTATATCCGGGTCGATATTTTTATGCCAAAATGTAAAAAAAAAGTCAACTATATGCCTATTTTAGCCGGGATTTAGTACTTAATTTAGTAAGGGGCCCCGTCGGAATTTACCGACTAAACCACCGTTAAATCTGCCACTGGATGATAAGTAGGTAATGAGGATAACAAAACATACGATACTAAAAGCTAGCGTAAAATCTTTTTTTTTTTATCATGTTTTTAAATAAACGCTTATGAACTAAATTAATAATCCGTTATTTCTTTTATTATTTAGTATGCATATATTTACTAGTATATAATTTTTATCTAGAATATTAAATAAAAAAAAGAATGAAATAAACAGACTTTATTAATTAACGGATTATTTAAAATCGGTTCAACTTTACATCGTTCGTCTCCGGAACGAATGTTAAAAAGACTATAGTTGTTGTTTAATCACCCACGGGGTGTATGAAATATAATTTCTAATCTTTGTCAATGGTTAAACGTCTATCTTAGGCTGTGGCTGGACAGGTATCCCCAACTGGAGTACCGCTCTGCCAGTGAATCTAGTACCTCTTGTTGTTTTTCCAACTATTAACGGATTGAGGTGATCTTTGGTGCCCGACTGGATATGTTTTACCGGATTGGACTAATCTCCAAGTACACGTTGTTTATAATTTCACCAACTAGGAAAAACGGGCAACTTCGGCTTGCACCAAAGTTATGGTGTCAAATTTCACTTCAAATTTTCTGCCAAGCAGAGTTTGAAGCCAACAAAAAAGATCGGCAGTGTTATATCTACGTATGACCTGCGTGAAAAAACCTGCGGTACAACACCGGGAAAGAGGGAAAAGGGTGACGAAATTAGAAACCATCGACAGCCGCCTCCGAGCCAGCCGTATTTATACTGTTTCTGTCACTCCGAACCGATGCGTGTCTACTTACATGTGTTCGCAATTGGACGTCAAAAAAATTATGTAGGGGTGCCAATTAGTAGTAATGTAGTCAGTCAAGTGTTTAGCGCAGCGCGGCGAGTGACGCACATTCATTCGGCGGCGGGAGCGTTATACTCAGTATAATGACGCACTATTATCTGGCTGTCGCTTTCTATAGGATATTTTTATCTCGCTATAATATGATCAAAGCGTTCAAGTTTGAAGGAAAAAATAGAACCAAGAATTTATGGATAATGGATATTTATTAAATATCACGAACAAATGTATAATTATAATTAAATTACAATAGTGATATGAGTAGCGGGTACATAAATTTACAATTTCGATACATAACATTTTATACGTTTCATACAATTTATAACCAAAAAAAAAAAAAAAATAAAAAATAAAAATATATTAGTAGGGAAAATATTAAACAAATAGAATTTCATTGGTAAGGTTATTACCAGTTGACATTAAAATATTTAAAGGCGAGCAAGATAAATAATTTTTATTTTGATGAGGAATATAGAATAGATTTCTGTTATGAGTATTATAAGGGTTGGGTTGACTTTAAAGTTGATAACGCTAAGAATGAAAGAGTCGTCAATATCGTTAAAATCAAAAAATTGATTAATTTATTAAGAAAATAAGCATAGTAGTTGTGTCTTTTATCTTGAAGGACTACAAATTTAGAAAATTTAAAATATTATAATAGCCAGAGTATTTGAAATTCTTAGTATATTAAGAAGTACATTTGAAGCAAATAAATCGAAGAACTTTGTTTTAAATTATTTCAATATCATTACTGTGTCCTATAGTTTATATTATCATTAACCCAGATTAAAGTCACATATTCTAGTTGAGATCGAATACATACATTATACATCGAGAAATGTATAATTTTTAAATATCAAAGGGTTAAGGAATTTAGAGCAGTTACATTCAACCATACCAAATATTGAAAGAGCTTTTTTCGTAATTGATAGAATATGCGAATTAAATATAAATTTAGGGTCAAACAATATACCAAGATCATTTACTTATGAGGAGTGGGAAAGATTAATGTTGGATAAATAATAGTTTTAGGTTTACTGATTCCCACTTTACTTTAAAGACTACTCTGAAATTCCTATTCTAGATACGCCGCAAAAAAATCCTGCGGACACCTATGAATATTGTAATAATGTACGGTTAATATATAATAATTGTTTCATTTTTGTAGTAATACTTAATAAAATATAAACTTAAAATAAACATATAATATTGTAATAATATCCGAATAGAAAGCTAGGGGAAAACCACACGATAATTAAAACCAAAATGGCATTTTGTATTTTTATCAATTTTTTATCCTAAAATTTAATAAATTTCGTTTGTCAATGTCCGAACTACCAAAATCATAATTAATGCGATTTTTATATCCTAGATTTTACCAAAATTGGTCTATGCAAGAAATTAAGACATTCATACTTCGAAATTTGAACATTAACCTATGCATTTGTTAAAATGCAGAATTTATCAGTGAAACTTAGGTTTTTCTGGTATTCTTACTTTTACCGTAATATATATATGTATATACATGTATAACATAAATATATATCAATTAAATATTGTATAGTAAATGAGTATGAAAATTGTTTACAGAACTCCAGGAACTAGGGACATGAACTTAAGCTTAAAGTGTAAAGAACCAGCGTAAGTACATTTGTCTATTCTAGTCATGTAATAAACTATAATAATGTTAATATTTTATTTTTAAAAAAAAATTTTCGAAAATTAGTATATGCATATATAAAACTAACCAGAGAAATATATTGTATTCGTGTTTTCTTTTATCTTTCAGTATAAGAGTCACTAGTGTGCCATATTTTGTAAAATAAACATTTAATTATTCTAGTTAGGTGCCCCGCCCAGGGCCGTTCTAAGTCCTGAGCAAGTAGGGCCCATCCCTTAAGCCCCGCACCTTGGATTCCTCGTTTTGACTCTACGTTTATGCACTTAAAAAATCCCAAGTTTTCTTTAAATACAACGATTTACATATAATACAATTAATATAGTTTGAATTATTATTTTACAATAATAATAAGTATAATTATGTATAAATACTTGTATAGTATACACTAGTGGCGGCTCAATGGAGATATATTTGAATCACGTGATTTAACAAAAAAACGGGTGGTCGAATCGTGGATGCCTCAGTGTTCAGAAACATAACACAAATTATTATTTTTTTACAAAATATAAGTCATTAAAAGAAATTTAGACTTAGGAAATTTGATAGATTTTATGATATATGCATACTAGCATAAAATAGCACCGACAAATGTAAAAGAGCACTATAAAATAGCAGTACAATATTTCATATTTGGAGTCTGATGCTTAAAAAAAATGTAAACTCACTCGTCTCTTTTTATATCGTTGACAAAGCATCACTATCAACTGAACTCCCCTCAGAATCGTTTTTTGGTAAACAATTATCGGTACACAGATGTACATTAAATTACCAATAACACTGGCTGCATCCATCCCTATTATTCTAGGTTAGGTTAATGTTACATATTTTGAACTATTTATTTCTTAAATTTTCAAAAAAATGTTAACACTTTCCAAGACATCCAAATGGTCATATGTTCATGGGATGGTGTATAGTCCGTTTTGTATCTGTCGAACTATACATAGACATAATCCGACGAAAATTTAACCTAGTCCAGAACATCCCATAAATTCACAAAATCTTTTGTTATAATTTTTATTTCGTCAAAATCTATTCATTAGTTTAGTTTAAAAATGGAACATAAGTAAATTGAATATGTAACATACATCTTCTTCTTATTCCGCAGTCAGATAAAAACATGTTCCTTCAACTTAAAATAGTTATCATTATTTGTTTTATTTTAATGGTCTATAATTTAGTATTTTCAGATGTAACAATTTCTTTAAATATACTTACACGAATAACAATATTATAAATATTATTTGTATTATTAGGACTCGCATCTGTGCCAACAAAAAAACTGTATAGTTTCAAAATAAATCGGTCAAAATAATTATTGGTGATTAATGAAATTCAACAATCGTCCTGACGTCAAGTAAAAACTAAATCGTCTAATAAATTGTAAATATTTTAAACAATAAATTATAATTAGATTTAATCAAAATTTTGTAGTTTTTTGTTAGTGTTGTTGTTTTTTAATAATAAAAGCACACTCAATAATTACAAAATGACCAAACTTAAAATATATTTCAACCAAATCTATTCATTAAATTTGTATTATAATAATAAGTTACCATTTTAAAATCGAAAATAGTGGGCCACAGCCAAATATGTAATTTATAATATTGTACCCCGAAAATTCTGAATTAAGGTTAATATATAACCTACGTGAAGTTATTACACTACATTGTTAACAAAACATTTCAAAATATANTACCCCGAAAATTCTGAATTAAGGTTAATATATAACCTACGTGAATTTATTACACTACATTGTTAACAAAACATTTCAAAATATATCCAACAATATTCAAATTATTCAAATTTATGACATTTTTGTCTGTCCAAATCAACACGATTACCATACTCTGAAGTAATAAAAAGTAATTTGTGAGCTTCTATCCAATAAAACTCGCATCGAATTACTGTTACAACTACGATTTTGAATGTGTACAATGGCCGTACCGAGCATTATGGTATTATTAGCATACGACATACCAGAAACTTGTATTTGATTATCTGACTCGTCCTCTGTAAATTCCACTGAACAACAGTAGGTAAATGAACATGATTAGTTTTACTCCTCGATTACAACTATTATAATACTCAAATATATTACACTATATAATTACTGAGTAGGTATTAATGGTATTAGGTATTCATTTATTTATTAAGTAATAATGTAATAACTTTAATTGGTATTTTAATTAACATATAATAAATACATGTTATATACCTAAATTGTATGTTATTGTTGTTATTATTTAAGTTCATCAAACTAAAATTTGTAAATATTAAAATTTTACAAGTATTATTATTTTATTATTTTTACACCGAATATTTAATTGTCTATACTAATAACTATTTATATTTTTTGTCTTTTTCTGTGCAATTACTATCACCTACTCTTATTCTACAGAAAACCTTTTGCACACATTATCTACACATTTTGTCGTACATTTTTTTATTTCTTTTATTGTATTGTTATTGATATGAGTTCATTGTATTCATATCAATATCAGAGAGTAACTCAACCAATTGCCGTGTCTTGCTTTATTATAAAATTTATATCAATCGTAATTGCTATCTGCTTTTCCAAAACTCAATATGATCAAATAACCAGTTCAATATTAATAATGATCGATACTATATTATGTATATCGTTATAATAACGATAAAACGTGGTAAATTTATTTTTGTCGAAATTGACTTTTTGGTATCAAATTACTTTGCTATTCTCTATGCCAGCGGTTTCCATAGTGTGCGCCGTGGCACCCTGGTCCATTTTTTAAGATCATTTATCACAACTTGTAATCTGGTTTGAGAAGTATTTTCAAAATGAAAATATTGGTAAATTTTCATAGATTTAAGATCCGTTCAACTCCATTACTCTAACTGATTTTAATTCTATTGAAGAAGAAAGTCTTATCGAGTTGTCTTGTGACAATAGTTTGAAAACGAAATTTAATAGAATGGATTTAATAAAATTTTGGATTTCAATGAAGGATAAATATTCCTTATTAAGTGATAAAGCACAACGAATATTAATTCAGTTTTCAACTTCTTATTTGTGCTAAGCTGGGTTCTCGGCGGTTGTAGTAATAAAAAGCAAGTATCGATCAAAAATAAATGTGGAAAAAGAAATGAGAGTGGCTGTGTCTACTTTGATTCCAAGTTTTGAAAAATTGTGCAGTGATTTGCAAGCGAAAATCAGTTTGGGAACCGCTGCTCAATGCAGTTGTTTTTATTGTTTATCACCACAGTGAAAAACACGTTATTTTCCTTCCGAAACCGATAGAAGTAATATTACGTACATCATCATGACGTATAATATCAAGTAACTTAACCCATTGACAAATTTATTGTAATCATGGCGGTTTGAAGCTTAAATTACTTCTGTTTAATAAAAAGTAATTATAACTACTCATATTTAATTGTTTAATCATTAATTTAAGTATACGTGTTACAGTTATTTAAATAAGAATATATTACGAGGTATGGTTGATTTATCTTTTAATCAAAACGATATACAGCCAATCGAAGAAATAACCATGCAATAAATAAAAAGCCACGATAAAGTTACACAGTGTCAGCGTTTAGAAAAAATACCAGACAAATCGTAATTATCACAGACACAAAGTTTGCTACATATTACAGTTAGATAACCTGGATTCATTATATGTATCAAATTTCTGGCAGGAGAAAGAAATGCCAGATTTTAATATAGACATAAATTATAATATAAAAATTAAAATGGATAGAATTAAAACTACTCTTAATAAAAATAAAGAAAAGCAGATTTTTGGTGTGTAATAATATAAATATGTGTATAAATATTTTTTATTGTTAAAAATAATAAATAAATGAGGACTTATCTATAAAAGTTTTGTCCTCTTATTTTTCAAAAAATGAAATCCCTTCCATTAAGATTGTATACATATAGCTCAATGTTTAAAAGTAGTTGAAAGTATAGTAAGGTTATTTTTTTACCTATATGATAACATTAATAAAGTGATAATATGAATTATAACAGTAGTTATAGTCGAAAAAGGGGGGAGAAAGATATTTCGATGAAGAGGTGGACAATTCGGGTGGCCTTGTAAAAGTATAACATCCCTCGAACAGCTGTGAAAAAAGTATAGCTCACCAAGGGGTGCCATTTTATTAACCCCTTGGGTTAGAAGCCACTAGAACATATTACCCTTATCAATATCATTTTCTTCTAAAACCTAAACGCTAAACCATGAACCACTACAAGAATCATTAACTCTGTACGACAAATGGATTGTTTCCACCTACAAGTAAGAAAACATCATTTATGTAAAAGGACACAGTAGAAAAAAATCTATCATAAATATATGGTTTCGAATTTCCAAATATACTCAGGCCTCGTTGATTGTAGAAACGTGGTTATGGTACATAAACATGGGAACAAAAATTGTACTTTTTTGGGAGCCAATGTTTAATTTAATTTTTTTATAATCATTTAAAAGAGTACAAATTTCATATATAAATAAAATCAAAAACAACAAAGCACAGTATTTGTTCTCGTGTTTATTTTGGTGCCAAAAATCATGTTTTTACGATCAACGAGATCTGAAAACCTTTGGAACTACGAAACCATGTTTTTGCAAATTTTGACAAATTTACAGCCGTCATGTGCTGCTGTTGAGACTACAGCGGCAGTATTCTAAAATTGTACACTCCCTTCACCCCGCATGAATAAGCATCGATGGTACTGCTCAGGAAACCGGTTATCTACCGATTGTCTACCGACAGTGCACACGGTTTATTTTATCGCCACACGAAAATAATAAAAATTAAATAACAGTAACAATATAACCAATGAACATTTGTTTATTTGTTCCGATTATAATAATTCATAGTACTTGTTCCTACTGCACCGTATTTTACATTATGAAATCACATCTAGTGAAATTGTCAAAAATCAGTTGGAATACGTACGATTTAAATTTTTTTTTTTT